ACCAGATTTTTGGGGAAAGAAAGATACTAAATAATTTCTTAATTAAACTATTATTATTTTTTTTTTTGTTTTAAAAAATAACAATAATAACAAAAAAATAAATAAAAATTTTTAATTAATGTTAACAAAAAAATAAAGAAAAATGATATACAAACACTCCATTTATTCAGGAAATGGTACAGGTTTTTCTAATAATCTATTAAAATCATTCTCTTCATTTAATATTTTACTCGCTCGTGTTAACTCCATTTTTAAAGCTTTTAATCCATCCATTGAAACGCCTTTAGTACAATTTTCAAAAGATGTTGGATCTAATACAGTCATGACAGCAGGAATAATGAATAACTCATCAGGAGGTCTAAAATATTTTATTGTTATTGGTTCATTCCAATTATAATTTTTAAAATAATTGAAAAAACCTTTTATCAAACTAGCAGGTGAATGTTGAATAATAATTTGTGTTGGTATTTTTGATCCTAATATTCGTAACCGAAGCCACCTATCCATTACGCATCTAAAATCTGATGGAAATAATGGTGGTTCAAATGATGTAAAATAATGTAATACTATTTGTATTATTAATTAAATGATTCATAATAAAATAAAAGAAAAACAAACTCATAAAACAGAGTGCTGCTGATGACAAACCACCTTTAAATGGACAATTTAAATTTCTACTTTTTAACCAATATTTCAACAATACAGCAACAATTCTAAAATGTTTATTACAATGAATCATTGTAGAAAAAAATTCAGAATGTATTTGAGCAACTGGTTGGTTAAATGATAAATCAATATTAACTTTAGTTCCTAAATCAACCATTTTAATTATTGGAACTTTTGCTTTTTCAATAACATTTCTAATTTCAAAATTATCTATTTTATTATTACTCTTCTTCTTTATTCCCTCATATTTGTTTCTTTTATTGTATATAATAATAATAACAAACTTCTTTTAAAACATTCCGCAAAAGACTCTAATAATATTGCATTTACTTGTCTTCCTGATTGACTTGTACAACATATATCTAAATCACCATCTTTTAAGCATAGTCCATAATCTGTAGAACCATAGACTTGTGCTCTAAAACGAAATTCAAGATAATTCTGATTAAGTACTTGTTCAATTCGTTGCATTACTTCATATCTCATATCAACAAGTTCATCAGATAGTCTATGGAAAATGAATATCTAAGTTCAAATAAATAATAATATTAAAAAGTCCTCTTTCTTTAATGAACATTTATTTTAATTTCTTTTAGAGAAAAGTTCTTTTTTTGTTTTCAGTAATAACAAACATGACACTCTCAAATATTTTTTCTAATTGATCATTAAGTATGTCTTCAGGAGAAGTTCTGTGTAAGTTATTCTTTCTGTTACTTTTTATATTTTTCTTAAATATTAAACGTCAAACAAACACTTGTTTTCTCCTTTTATTATATGGTTTCTCTCTTTTCATTCTTCTATCATTCATTCCCCTCATACGTCGTCCATCGTTTGAAAGCGACATATCTGATTTAATAAATCAGTTCATTCTATTTCAAAAACCCATTTCACACCCTTTTGTGGTATTTCTCCGGGAAATTCCATTTGAAAAAGGAATGAATAAAAGACTTCATTCTAAACTATAATATATGATTATTATAACTAGATTTTATAATTTAATCGAACAAAAAGGGTTTGGATTTAAATGTTCAAAAATAGAAGTAAATTTCAAAGAATTTACAATTGTTTTTAATTCTTCAACTCCTTCTTTTAACTTTCATTGTTTATTATTGCTAATTCATTTCCTTTAAATTTTTTTTATTTCCATTAAAATTTTTAACAATAACATTTATTACCTTTATTAAACCAAAATATTAATTTTATTATTGGACCACATAATAAAACTCAATTATTTCTTTGATTGAATCTTCTTCTTTGGTCTAAGATCACCTGAATGTCCACATTTCTTTTTTCTGCAAGTAGTAGCTCTAAGAGGAAGTCTAGCATAACATCTTCTACAAATCATTTTATCACAATTATATTTTCTAGCAATAGCTTCCAATGCTGGTTCAATACCCATTGTTGTGGTCTAAAAATGTTTTAAGTTCTTTTTAGGGTTTTTATACTTTTTTTGAAATTTTCTTTCATTAAATCAAAAACAAATTTACTATTACACTCTTTACTGAATGACTCAATATTACTTTTCTTCTTCTTGTTTTTCTATAAATTCACATTTTACTTGACATTGTTTTCCTTCTAAAAAACATATATATTTTGGTTTTTTATTATATATTTCACTTACAATTTTATCAACTATTTTTTTAGCAATTTCTAATGGAATATCTTCAGGTAATGGAATAACTAATTCAAGATTTGTGGTAAGTTGGTCCATTTGATTTAAAGTGAAAGTATTATTTATTTTTTCTTTTTATTAAAATTATTATTTATTTATGTTATAACAATAAATAGGCAAATATTTATTTTTTCAAGTTACTTGTCTTATTATCTTACAAAGTTCTAAAGTTCATGAATTATATTTTGTTCCTCAATTTGATTGTTTTTATAAATGCTACTCATTTATGTGAAGAAGGGTATTACTTTTTAAATGAAACTTGTATTGAGTGTGATAAACACTGTTTATATGATAAATGTATTGATGAAATTGGATGTCAAGAATGCCAACCAAAATATTATTTGAATGAAACAAGTGGATGTAACCCTTGTGTGTTGAATTGTGAAAAATGTACAGGAGATACATTAGAAAAATGTACTAAATGTCAAGATGGTTTTTATAAAAGTAATATTTCTCAAATATGTCTTTTACCTTATGGTTGTATTGAATATGAAGATTTTATAGGGTGTAAGTCATGTGAAGAGCATTACCAATTAAACAATAGTATGTGTATTTATAGTTTGTTAAATAAAATGTTTACATAATTTAAATAATAAAATTTATTTCTTTAGAGTGTGATGGATGTTCTGATGGATATTGTACAACAACTGGTTGTGAAAAATGTTCTAACTGGTTTAAAGAAAGTGATAGTTTTGGGGATTGTACAAAAGCTGCAGTAGGTAAAATCATTTGTGTTCTTATTATTATTTTGATAATAATTCTTGTTTTGATAGGAATTATTTCTGGAATATTTTTCTTTATTAAGAAACAAAGAAAACATAGACAATATGAAGATGCTTATCACAACGTTAATTAATTAAACTATTATTAAAAAATAATTTAAATAAATTCTTCTTTTTATTAAATAAAAAGAAAAAAATAAATAACATAATGTATAAATGAAAGAAGGTTCAAATTAGTTAGTTGTCCCATGGGAATTTAGTGTCGAGTTTACAGTCAGCTCTTAATTTCTCCATTTCTGATCTTGTAACTTCAGGAATAAAAACACCTTTCTTACTTCTTTCTAAGAAAGTTTCATGTTCTTTTTCACCTGGAGTATAAATTCTAGTAGCACCTGGAGCTTTAGCAGCAGCTCTAAGTTCACGAGCAATATCACCAACTTGTTTCTCAAAGTCAGCTAATGGTCTAAATGATTCAATATTAATTGCCATAAAGAATTGTCCAAGTTCAATTGGGACTTTCTTTCCATCCTTTAATCCACCACATTGAGAAAGGAAATTGGCTCCAGATAATGCTGAAGATAAGATTTCTACATCACAAGCATAACCATATCCTTTATGACCTCCCATCTCTTCTCCATAACCTCCAAGTGGATAACAAGCAGCAGTTCCTTTTTGGAAAGCTTCCAACATAGGTCCTGGTTCAGAAAGAACTTTACCACTTCTATCACAAACCCATCCTGGTTGGCATTTCTTTCCTTCTCTGGCATACATTTCAATTTTTCCTCTTTGGACAATAGAAGTTGCACAATCAAGGCAGAATGGGAATCCTTCATCACTTGGGAAGGCAAAGACAAGTGGATTAGTTCCAAGTTTTGGTTCTACAGACCAACATGGACAAACTGATGGTCTAGCATTACATCCTGAAAATCCAATACATCCTTGTTGAGCAGCCATTTGTGGATAATAACCAGCAATACCGTAATGAGTACCATTTCTAACAACTACCATACCCATTCCATGTTTTTTAGCTTTATCAATAGCTAATTGCATAGCTTGCATAGCAATAGAATGTCCCATACCATTGTGTCCATCAACTACAGCTGTAGTTTCTGTTTCTTTAACAATATCAAAAACAGTTTTTGTATTTAATTGTCCACAGTCAATTCTATCACAATAAATAGTTTTTAATCTTTGAATACCATGAGTATCCATTCCTTGTTTATCAGCTTGAATAAGAACTTTAGCACATCTTGCTGCATCTGCTTCTTCAACTCCTTTAGCCATTAATACGTCTTTCATGAATTTTTCTAATTCATCAAAATGAATTCTGTACATTGAGTCGTCAGCCATTTTATCTTTTTATTCTTGATTACTTTTTATAAGTATTTGTTTTAAATAGTTCATGCCACGTATTGTAAGACTAATCTTCTAATAGCTTTTTTCTTTTTTTATTTTTTTTTCATTATTTTTCAATTGATTTTCAATATAAGTGATGATGTCAATTGAATAAAATATGAATTCAATTTTTTTTACATCGAAGTGAAATTGAATATACACTAATTCAAAAATTCTAGAACTTTCATTTTTTGTTGGTTAATTGATTTCTGAGTATTTCCATAACACAAATTCTATTTATTTTCCTCTTTAGCTTCTATTTTCATTCTTTTTTGACAACAAAATAATCATAATAACATAAACATTGTTTTGTTTTGTTTTATTAATTTTATTTTGTAAAATTTATCTACTCTTTCATCTTTTTTTACTTCTTTTATTATTGAATTAACATATACCTTTTCCTTTTAGTTAATGTCTATTTTATTTAAATAAATGTGATATTGTTTGAAACAATATTCATTAAAAATATATGAAACTTTAACTAAATACGCTATTTGTTAATAAAAAGAAATAACTCCCTATTTTAATAAAAACAAAAATATCAATTAAATAACAAAAATTCGATTTACCTCAAATGAGACAATTCCAAATTTTAAAGTATTTCCCCTTGTTAATAACTGTGATAATGATAATGAATATTCTTGAATATCATTTATTTTATTTACATAAGTAATAACTTTCAAATAAAGATTTGGAAGTGTTTTAATATAAATCCAATCTACTCCACATTGAATTAAAGTAAAATGAACTTTTTCTAAATTTTTTTTTAAATTTCTTAAGTAGCTTGTTTTATTTGAAAATGAGTCATAAACAATAATGTTTTGTTCAAAGTGTTCTATAGAAATATCTAATTGGATAAGATGAATTAAAGATTGAGGGAGAATATATTTAAGTTTAAGTGAATTAAATAAATGAATATTTTCTTTATCCAAATCTTCTTTCATTTGGTTTTTAATGTCACGAAGAAATTCAAGACAATTCATTTAAGAAAAAGAAAAGAAAAGAGTTAAATAAATAATAGTAGTAAAATAATAATAAATAATAATTTTCTTTCTTTTCTGAAATTAAAAAAAAAACTAGGGTTATTATCACTTTTAATTGCAAATGGTCGGACCAGTCACTAAGCCAAAGATTGTCAAGAAATATACTGGACACTTCAAAAGATTCGATTCAAATAGATTCCTTCGTGTTAAAGCATCATGGAGAGTTCCAAGAGGTATTGATAATAGATTAAGAAGAAAATTCAAGGGAACTAATCTTCTTCCAAAGATTGGATATGGAAGTGCTAAGGCTACTAGAAATATGCTTCCATGTGGACTTTATAAATTCCCAGTTCGTAATACAACTGATCTTGAAATGATTATGATGCAAAACAGAAAATATGCTGCTGAAATTTCACATGCTGTTTCTGCTAAGAAGAGACAAGAAATTATCCAAAGAGCTAAAATCTTAAACATTAGAGTTCTTAATGCTGAAGCTAGAATTAAGAAACAAGAAGTTGCCCAATAAATTGATGGTTTTTGACGATAAATTTTAATTTACTTTTTTAATTAATTAAAAACAAAAATTAATTAAAAATTAAAAGAAATCAATTTCTTGGTTGGATTTGTAATGAAATATCATATTGAGCCTTTTCATCATCATTTTTATGTTGTTCTATTGATAATATGAAATCCTTGAAAAATGGTAATGCTTTATAAATTGAATGTTGGTCATTTTGTAATGGTCTAATAGTTAATAATTGATTTGCCATCATTCTACATTTCTCAAAATTAACATCTCCACTTTCAGTTTTATCAGGATTACCTTCATCAATGAAAGTTAAATCTTGAATAATAACTCCAATAAATGGAATATATCCTTTACTTTTATTTTGTTGAATATATTTTCTATATGAGGCATAACTTCTTGTTGGGTCTGCAGCTTTTCTTAATGGATCCATTCGTTGAGCAGCATTTTCAACTAATTCCCAAGTTTTTGTTAATCGACTAATTGCACTAGAATTTAACCCAGAATAAAATTCAAAAAAGCCTGTAAAATTCATTTGTTCATACATTATTTTTGCAACATCAATGAATTTACTTATTAAATTAGCTCTTGCATTAATATCACTTTCTTGAAGAATTGAATATGATACCCAATTAGTTACAGCATTAAAATGTTCTAAAAATTCACAAAGTCTTGGACATCTTTCATATTTATCTTTCTTTGTCCATGCACTTCCTAAAAAGTCTTTCATTTCTATTCCAGTAAATAATGTTAATTCATATAAACTTAATTGACCAACAATTGTTTCAGCAGTTAATTCTTTAATTGGTTTTGTTTTTTCTTCTCCATTAGAATTTTCAATTCTATCAAATGTAGGTAAATGAGGGATAGATTGAGCTGATTGAATCATTTTTCTAATTTGTGCAATTCCAACAAATTGTGATTGATATTTTTGTAAGAAAGTTTCAATAGCTCCAAGTATTTCTTTATCATGGAAATCATAAGGTAATAAGTCAGTCCATATTTTCATGAAAATAGTGATTTTAGCCCATTTTTGTTTTATTGTTTTAACTGGTTCATTTTTGGATTCAACAATATCATTACAAATTTTATCTATAATTGATAATAATTGAATTGGTTTACAATATGTATGATAATTTAAAATAAACATATTAGCAAAATTACTTTCTAAATTTTCTGGTGTAACAGCCCAATTAATTAATACTTCTAATGGTCCTGAAACTGTTTGTTTATTTTCAATTTTTAATCCTTGTTCTTTAAATTTTTCACCAATAGTGTCTGTTATTTTAATATAAACTTGTCTAAATTGTGATGGACAGACCATAAGTGTAATTTGTTCTGCACTCATACCATTAAATGTTCGTTCTTTTTCCTCTCTTTTAATAGTAGGTTCCATTGTAGGTGTAGAAATTACTGTTCGTTTAAGATTTCTATTGGATGAATAAAATAATCTTGGTGGAAGAGAAGATGACATTAATTATTGAACTAATTTTTATTAGGAACTTTTTTATTAAATTAATTTTTTTATTTTTTTTTAAAATAACTTCCACTTTAAAAGAATGAAGATTCTGTTAAGAATAAATATATTTTTTTAATTGAAGATGTTAAACTTGTTCTAACAAAATGAGTTGAAAAAATGAAAATCTTAAGAAATTATTTAGTATTTTATACCTAAATATTATTAATTTGTTTAATTAGTGTAAAAGTAGTAATGGAATTTATCATTGTTTTAGTCTTTTTATTTAAAATTAGATTTCTCACTTATTTTCCATTGAAACCCAATTAATTT